TTTTCAGGAATCATTCAAATTTGTGCCAAATTAAAATTCGGTTTACATTTATTTCAGTATTCGAAATAAGTTTATCAATCAGTAGGAGGTCCTAACCCCTACATTATTTTTTCCTCTAGGGGAAAAAGTGGGATAGCTGAAGGGCCTCCGACAATTTGTTTTCAGGAATTATTCAAATTTGTGCCAAATTAAAATTCGGTTTACATTTATTTCAGTATTCGAAATAAGTTTATCAATCAGTAGGAGGTCCTAACCCCTACATTATTTTTTCCTCTAGGGGAAAAAGTGGGATAGCTGAAGGGCCTCCGACAATTTGTTTTCAGGAATTATTCAAATTTGTGCCAAATTAAAATTCGGTTTACATTTATTTCAGTATTCGAAATAAGTTTATCAATCAGTAGGAGGTCCTAACCCCTACATTATTTTTTCCTCTAGGGGAAAAAGTGGGATAGCTGAAGGGCCTCCGACAATTTGTTTTCAGGAATTATTCAAATTTGTGCCAAATTAAAATTCGGTTTACATTTATTTCAGTATTCGAAATAAGTTTATCAATCAGTAGGAGGTCCTAACCCCTACATTATTTTTTCCTCTAGGGGAAAAAGTGGGATAGCTGAAGGGCCTCCGACAATTTGTTTTCAGGAATTATTCAAATTTGTGCCAAATTAAAATTCGGTTTACATTTATTTCAGTATTCGAAATAAGTTTATCAATCAGTAGGAGGTCCTAACCCCTACATTATTTTTTCCTCTAGGGGAAAAAGTGGGATAGCTGAAGGGCCTCCGACAATTTGTTTTCAGGAATTATTCAAATTTGTGCCAAATTAAAATTCGGTTTACATTTATTTCAGTATTCGAAATAAGTTTATCAATCAGTAGGAGGTCCTAACCCCTACATTATTTTTTCCTCTAGGGGAAAAAGTGGGATAGCTGAAGGGCCTCCGACAATTTGTTTTCAGGAATTATTCAAATTTGTGCCAAATTAAAATTCGGTTTACATTTATTTCAGTATTCGAAATAAGTTTATCAATCAGTAGGAGGTCCTAACCCCTACATTATTTTTTCCTCTAGGGGAAAAAGTGGGATAGCTGAAGGGCCTCCGACAATTTGTTTTCAGGAATTATTCAAATTTGTGCCAAATTAAAATTCGGTTTACATTTATTTCAGTATTCGAAATAAGTTTATCAATCAGTAGGAGGTCCTAACCCCTACATTATTTTTTCCTCTAGGGGAAAAAGTGGGATAGCTGAAGGGCCTCCGACAATTTGTTTTCAGGAATTATTCAAATTTGTGCCAAATTAAAATTCGGTTTACATTTATTTCAGTATTCGAAATAAGTTTATCAATCAGTAGGAGGTCCTAACCCCTACATTATTTTTTCCTCTAGGGGAAAAAGTGGGATAGCTGAAGGGCCTCCGACAATTTGTTTTCAGGAATTATTCAAATTTGTGCCAAATTAAAATTCGGTTTACATTTATTTCAGTATTCGAAATAAGTTTATCAATCAGTAGGAGGTCCTAACCCCTACATTATTTTTTCCTCTAGGGGAAAAAGTGGGATAGCTGAAGGGCCTCCGACAATTTGTTTTCAGGAATTATTCAAATTTGTGCCAAATTAAAATTCGGTTTACATTTATTTCAGTATTCGAAATAAGTTTATCAATCAGTAGGAGGTCCTAACCCCTACATTATTTTTTCCTCTAGGGGAAAAAGTGGGATAGCTGAAGGGCCTCCGACAATTTGTTTTCAGGAATTATTCAAATTTGTGCCAAATTAAAATTCGGTTTACATTTATTTCAGTATTCGAAATAAGTTTATCAATCAGTAGGAGGTCCTAACCCCTACATTATTTTTTCCTCTAGGGGAAAAAGTGGGATAGCTGAAGGGCCTCCGACAATTTGTTTTCAGGAATTATTCAAATTTGTGCCAAATTAAAATTCGGTTTACATTTATTTCAGTATTCGAAATAAGTTTATCAATCAGTAGGAGGTCCTAACCCCTACATTATTTTTTCCTCTAGGGGAAAAAGTGGGATAGCTGAAGGGCCTCCGACAATTTGTTTTCAGGAATTATTCAAATTTGTGCCAAATTAAAATTCGGTTTACATTTATTTCAGTATTCGAAATAAGTTTATCAATCAGTAGGAGGTCCTAACCCCTACATTATTTTTTCCTCTAGGGGAAAAAGTGGGATAGCTGAAGGGCCTCCGACAATTTGTTTTCAGGAATTATTCAAATTTGTGCCAAATTAAAATTCGGTTTACATTTATTTCAGTATTCGAAATAAGTTTATCAATCAGTAGGAGGTCCTAACCCCTACATTATTTTTTCCTCTAGGGGAAAAAGTGGGATAGCTGAAGGGCCTCCGACAATTTGTTTTCAGGAATTATTCAAATTTGTGCCAAATTAAAATTCGGTTTACATTTATTTCAGTATTCGAAATAAGTTTATCAATCAGTAGGAGGTCCTAACCCCTACATTATTTTTTCCTCTAGGGGAAAAAGTGGGATAGCTGAAGGGCCTCCGACAATTTGTTTTCAGGAATTATTCAAATTTGTGCCAAATTAAAATTCGGTTTAGCATTTATTTCAGTATTCGAAATAAATTTATCAATCAGTAGCAGGCCCTAACCCCTACATTATTTTTTCCTCTAGGGGAAAAAGTGGGATAGCTGAAGGGCCTCCGACAATTTGTTTTCAGGAATTATTCAAATTTGTGCCAAATTAATATTCGGTTTAACATTTATTTCTGTATTCGAAATAAATTTATCAAACAATAGAAGGTCCCAACCCCTTTTTTCCCCCTAGAGGAAGCCAAGTTTGCTCGTCGTTGTACCGTTTGTCTGCGCCCGCGGTTCCGTCACTTATCTACAACGAAACTGCAGCCGCGACGGTTCCGTTTTACGAGGGGTGGGGCCTCGCCGCGATAAGCACATTATCGCCGTGTGTTTCCTCGAAGTCGTCGATCTTCAGTGGCCAGACGTGCTTGTGGATCCAGGAATTCGGCTGCAGACGCGATTCCCAACTTTAGAAACGAGAATTTTCGACAGAAACGACGCGATTCCTCGAAATTTTTTGGTTTATTTTCTTTTTATGAATACCTCGCGGTTTCGAATCCTGACTCGCCCAACGACATTTTTATTCGCGTGTTTATCTCTCACTTTTTTTTTTTTTACATATTTTTGTAACAAAATTTCGGTACAGATTCTTCGAATAGTCGACAGTTTAATTGGAATTTTAGGAGAGCAGTGGTTCCCAATCTTTTCTTTTACTTGCGTACCTTTCGACAGCCAGTTTTTTTTTAAATTGTACCCCTTAATCTTGAAAGAATAGTTGTAATTTATATCGTTTTTTTTTATTTTAATTTGTTCCGTGCAGATCCTAAAATACCAAATAGATTCTCCGAGTTGGGAACCGTTGTAGTAAGGGATAGTTTTCTGGTATCGTACGTCGTAAGATATTTTGCATCATTTTTTTTTTATTTGGCGTTTTAATAACTCGTCGAAAAGCTCTCTGTCATCGGATCCGTGATTCTTCAACAATTCTAAACGTTGGATTTCGATTCTCTTTCGCAGGTCCTCTCGGCGCTGGACATCCTGCAGCCACCGCACCTGGACTTCTTCCAAGAAATGTATCCTTTTCTAAATTCACCAACGTCTCATCGTCCAAAAAAAAAGACAGGTTTGTCCCCCCTCCAAAAAGATCCAAAAAACTGATTCTCTCGCGACGTCGCCGATACTCAGACTCCCTATTGCTACCGAAATAACTATTACGTCCGATAATAATCACACTCGAACTCGGCAATATCGAATCGACGATATCAAAAAAAAAAAAAATAGGAAACTAGAAATGAAATTTTTTCGTTTTTTTTCTTTCCTAATAACGGCATCGGTTTGCACCGTGACGCTTTACTTTAAATAGTTTCACGTTAACACACCCGCGCGAGTTGAGAAGTTTCACGATTGATGCGCCGGGTCATTTTTTAAATTTCGCGTTACTCAAGAATTTACTTAAATTTCGACAACGACAGCATACTGCCGACAAACTCCGACTTAACGAAAGGGTTAAGCTTCTCACGCGTAAGTTTAATAAATAATAATAATTTCGTATATTTTTTAAGGTGTTTTTGGACGAGACCCGGAAAACTTATAAGGTAGGGGAGACCAGGGTAGAAAGTAACAGTTTTTGGTTTTCATGAAATAAAACAGTACCCCTATATTTTAGCTAGAGATTTAGTGTTAAATTATACGGACAGATTGGAGATTCAAGATTCGCTCTACAGCGATGTAATGTTTTTAGATTAATTGTTAAAAATATTATCACCATGAAAATTGACCGAGCCGGATTATTACTTTTTTCCCCAGTTTGATGTAAAAAATAACGCTGAGGTGAAGTGCATCACATATACAATTGAACAGAATTGTGGACAACGAAAGATAGAAAAATAATTAAAACTAGCTACTGAGTACAAAGAATCAACATTGCATTATAGTTTTCTATTTAATCGACTCAACACAACATTATTTCTTAATCAATAAGCACTCGACACAAATTATCTTCTTATAATTAGTATATCATTACCTTCTTAATAAGATCCATTAATTATCATAGTTTATTAATTATTTCTTATAATAGCGTTGTCTCTTACTTACAAACTTATAAGCCCCGTTACAACCTACCCCTGTTACTTTTCACCCCGGTTTCCCCTACTATAAGGGTGAATATAAATCCTGATAATTTCAATTCTCGAGCCTCGATCACGATAAGACAATAAGAATCGAAACTGAGTGAAATATTAAAGGGGGGGGGGGTGGTCTGAAAGGCCAGGCGATAAATCCTGTAGGGGAAAAACCAGGAAAATTTCTGACAATCGGTGGGAGGCCAGGTTGCCCGGAAAGGTCGCGGTAGTTGTCCCCCCTCTTCACGAAATGAAATTAAGGGTCCGAACTTCTGTCTGCCTCGCGGGGGTGAACCGGACACGTGTGGACCCCAGAAGCTAACCTAATAAATCTCGAGGCTTCGTTCTCACGTTACGAACGCCCTGGGAAGAGATCAATAACGCCGGAACGGCATATACGGAGTCGGCGTTGCTTCGTTCCATGAAGGTGGAGGACAGGGCCTTAATTTTCACATGAACCTCCCGTATGGCTCCACCTATTTTCCAGAACTGACGTACGCGAAACTCAGGGGGCGAAAGCGAGTGCGTTTCTGGCTGGTCGGATGCTCCCGTGGGAATTTTTGGCGATCCTGAGTGGATGAAATTGTACATATATGTATACAGGATCTTTCAGGCTTTGGCATACACTGCTTCTAGATCTTCGAAGTACACGGGAAAATAGGAAAACGCGTATATTAACTGTTAACTTTTGTAATGTTGTGGCAATCGTGTTGTCACCAGGTTTCTATTTCTTTTTTCTGTTTATCTTTTCAGTTTTACATTTCTTTCTGTTTACCTTTTGAGTTTTATATATTTTTTTTTCTATTTACCTTTTGAATTTTACATTTTTTTTTTCTGTTCACCTTTTGCGTTCTATATGTTGTTTTTTCTGTTTACCTGTTTAGTTGTACGAAAGTGAAATAAATCTAGCTCGGCCTTGTCTTAACCCTTTGGTTTACGGGGATAGTTTCACCCTGGCGAACCGAATGTCAGGAAAAACGATAAATGACACGATGCTTCTACCGAGATCCCTTACAAACCCACGGAGTTTAAGAAAAATCGGATTTTTCAAGTTATTCGGGCGAAATAAAGATACAAAGACTAGGGACAAGTTTGAGATCTTACATTCCAAAACTACGTTACTAGACCTCTTAAATATAGGAATATGTTCGTGTTACCTTGTTTTTTTGAACAATTCTAGCAAATCTTTGACCATAAACGAATCCATAAGTCGGGAGCACCTTGAAGGAAATTTTCAGCTGTAATTGTCTAAATGTGTACAATATGTCTGGCAGTTGACCTTGATCGCTAATCACTCAGGTGTTATCTGCCTGATAAGGGATTCGATCTTATGCAGTAAAATATAGTTGCGTAACGTGTATTACTCCGCGATAAAGTAGCTGGATTTGACGAATGCGTTCCATCAAGACGGTAAAAATATCCTCGGTTCGACGAAGAGAAAGAAACGATTCATAAACGGTGGTCCTTATTTCAGACCACTTGCGTTCGTTCCTCGTTTGAATTAAGCCAAAGAAAATGTTTGTTTTTTCACGTGATAGAAAATTCGGACGTCAAAGAAAGGTATTCGAAGCGTCTCGTGTCTATCTTGAGCGATCGGCGCATTGAAATCGAGATAACGCGAGTTTTGAGGATCCGTTAAATTGTATTTTCTTCGTGCATTTTGCGAGTTGGATGGAATGGTACTCGAAGATTTCTTTAAGGGGTTCTTTGAGCTGGTAAATAAATGGGACAATCCAACAATGTTTTTGTATATGTAGAATTAGGGTTTAATAAAAATTCAACATATACATCTTATATTTCTGAAAAATTGAGTTATATATCTATCAAAAGAAACTAGTACTTGTCGAAGCCGATGGTGAAAATATCTCTATTTTACAAAATGACGACTATTCGAACTTAAATTTGTAGTTTCTATAAATGTTTAACTCCTTTGTTACCACAAAAACATGCACGAGTTAAAAATTCGCTTAGTTAACTATTAGATTTTAGTCTTGAGAATATTACCACAGAGTTTGATCGAGATTGCTTCAGTAGTCTCTTAAATATATCTGGTACCGACTTTAAAAACTGTATTTCGAGTAAAATCCTTTCAAATAGCAGCCAATTTCTTCTGTTGAAGGCTACGTAGCTCAATTTTCCAGAAATTACCAAGGGAATAACAAATAATAAGATGTATATGTTGAATTCTCAATAAACAATAATTCCACATATGCAAGAACATTTTTTAATTTTCCCTTTTATTGGTTTTCGAGATAGTACTTTCTGGTCGAAACTTCGAGGGGTGGTTTTCCCCCTTAAAAACGCGTCTCGGCCGATAAAAAAAAATACGTATCCTTTACTTTTTAACTGCTTAACGGACATACAAAGTTTCATCAAAATCGGAGGGGACACTTCCGTGCCGAATCCAAGAGAATATCCTTATTCGTGGGGCGATGATTCGTCGAGTCGTCCCGTACTAGACGGGCGCAGGCGCCGTCCAAAGTGGCCGGTTGATCGATCGATCGATCAACGAGAAACCGATAGACGATCCTCCTTAAGTGAACGGGACCCAGCAAGGAGAGTTAATCTCGATGGAGGCAGCTCGATAAATCAGCTCCCACCACACTCTTCGCGTCTTGTTCCGAGCCTCCTCTTACTTCCTTCCGTCTGCCTCTTCGGATATATTTCTAATAAATAGATCCTTTCATGAATTAAACGCCCCACAGATGATACGATTTTTCGTACAGCTGATCGTACAACCACCGACGAAGTATAAAAATGGACGTTTGTTTTTTTTCACTTAATTGTAGTACCTTAAAAAGTCTGTGATTTTAGTGACCCTTACATTATAATAACGATGAACCTGCGGTGGTTAAGTAAATATCGTTTCAGCAAATGTAAACGCAAAACCACGCGAGCTTTTGGATATGTTTTTACTTTATAAAAATATAGCATACTTTACAAATATTATTTAGTAAATATATATATCATTCAAATTGATAAGTTCAATAGTTTTGTTTAAAAAATTCCCAAGAATTGCCCAGTTATATAACCGTCACACTAGCATAGCCCGTTAACGATTCCATATGCTTTTATACTAAACTTTATAAAAATCAAATAAATAACGTGATCAAAATGATTGAAGATATGATATTATAAATAATTTGATTCAATATCTAAATCAATTTATATTCGTACATTATTAGATTGTTAAGGCAGAAAGGTCTGAGAAAAGTCTTGGCAACTTGAATCCCTTTTCGTAACCTTTTATACTCTGTTTCAAGGAACCGATAAACAAAAAGAATCAGTCGGAACATCGACGAAGAGTCTCTCAAGTCGGCGTTAATTCCATTAATCGTTCGGTACCGTCACTGTTTGCGTGGGTCGATTCTAATTCCATCTCCATGGAAAATTCACCAACGTTCCTCTCCGCCTTCTCTCTGGCTTCCATTCACGAAACTTCGCGATAGGGATGTTGGAAGTTCGTTGATTTTTAATTAAAAACCCCCCCCCCCCCCCCCCCCCCACCTGGACTAACCGCGCAGTGTCTCGCAGACGATACGCTAAAGAGATTAACCCGGTTGATATAGTCGCTCCAGGCTGACTACACGCTGTTAAATCCATCAATGCTCGAAGCACAAAAGAAGAGAAGCTGCCTCGTAACTTTCGAATTGGGATCAACTTCCCGCCATACCTACGGGGGTTAATTCCATCCTCGATCCTTCACGATCGCTCGTTGACTTCCTCTTCGCGAAGATCCATTGTACATTTTGGGGACGAACAACTTATCGTAGGGACCGTTTGTAATCGTTCGGAGGATCAAGGGATCGACAATAATGGCTGAAAGTTTCGGATGAACGAGTTGTCGAATCGGGCTAGGATTAGTTCCCTAGCCTTTCCCTATCGATCGACCATATCCCAAGGGCTCTGTGATCGAAGATCCCAATCGTGTCTTCATAAATCGTAATATTCGA